TCGCACGTTGACAGTCAACCACGCGATAGAGCAGCAGGAGACCGACAATGAAATCGAACAAGCCCAATTACCTCCTTCAGACAGGGGGAAGGAGGCATGGCTTGTCTTGCTCGGATGCAGTCTGATCCAGATTCCCGTGTGGGGTAGGTGAACTCGTGTGCCCCTCACTCCAATCGCTGAAGAAAAGATATCTGACTCTGGACTCTGTAGGGTACTCCCTCGCATTTGGTGTATTCCAGGAATATTACGGCAGTCATCCGGACAAGCTCGAGGGCGATACCAGCAATGTCGCCGTGATTGGAACCACCATGACGGTATGTTCACGAGTCCACTCTCACATCATCACTTGAATGTGCTGACGAGGCCAGGGCATCATGTACCTCATCTCCCCTTTCACGTTCACGATCTTGAGTAGATGGCCCCGTCTACGCCGTTGGTTCGGCCCACTTGGACTGCTCCTCACCGCGATCGGCTTCCTCTTATCCTCTTTCGCGACTACGGTGTGGCAGTTGATCGCAACGCAAGGCGTCATATGCGCCCTAGGCTGCGGGCTACTTTTCACTCCAACGACTTTGTACCTGGATGAGTGGTTCGTCAAGCGAAAGGGCCTGGCTTACGGAGTCATGTGGGCTGGAAAGTCTGCAGCTGGCGTCGGGCTACCCTTCGCCATGGAAACCTGTCTGCAGCAGTTCGGACCAGTAGTCACGCTCCGAGCTTGGAGTGTTGCAACGGTATCACTCGGCCATCTTTATGAAAGCTCTGAATACATCACTCACAAGCGCACAGGTTCTCATCTCAGCGCCCCTTCTCTACTTCCTCAAACCACGTATCCCCGTCTCCCAGTCCTCCGCCGTACGCAGAATCAACCTCAACTTCATCCAGCTCCCCTCCTTCTGGATGCTCCAAATCGGCAACGTCCTCCAATCCCTCGGCTACTTCCTCCCCTATACCTACCTCTCCACCTACGCCGTCCAACAACTCCACGTCTCTACCACAGTCGCAACGACCCTCCTCGTCCTCATCAACGTCACCTCTATCCCCGGCGGCATCGTAATGGGCAGTCTGGGAGACCATCTCCGCGTCACCACCGTGATCCTTATCTCGACCATCGGTTCTGCGCTTGCAGTATTTATGTTCTGGGGATTCTCGAGCCAGACAGCGCTGCTGGCTGTCTTTAGCATTACATACGGCTTCTTCGCTGGAGGTTTCAGTTCTACCTGGTCTGGAGTGCTGTCTGAGTTGAAGGCTGAGAGCCCGGCGGTGGATACGGGGTTCATCTTTGGGTTGTTGGCTGGTGGGAGGGGAATCGGCAATGTGATTAGCGGTCCTTTGAGCGTAGGTCTATTAACTGGAGATGGGTGGATAAGAGATGGCAAGAGTTGGGGATACAGCGGGCAGTATGGCGGGATTATCTTGTTCACGGGCATCACGGCAATGTTGGGTGGCTGGGGTGCACTTGGTAGGGTCAAGTGCATTTGCGCCAGGTGAGCTCAATGCCTGGGCCAGACCCCATGCTAATGTCTCTCCTCCACGCTTCGATCGATGGGACGTCGCTAGTCGGGCTCAGAGAAGTAAGATGAATACGTGGCCGATATTTGGTACTTAGTATCAAGTTTGCGAAAACTTCCATGTCCAGAAGGCAACATAGGTTGGGCCCAATAGTGTGATCATGGGTAGACATTATTACTTTAAATCTCTATAGTCCGATTGTGGCATAATCCTCAACCGCCCGAGTGAACCGCTCTTCATTACAACCACCCGTCTAGTGGTTCCTCTTGTAAATGGTACCGTTTCCGGTAAAGTTACCAGTCTGGGTAGTGAAGTCATCAGTGTTGCTGAAGTTGTCAATCTTTCCGAGGAGAATCTCGAGCATGCGGTACGCGACACCAGGAGTGTATCCGGGCAGCTCGTGGCCGGCAAGACGAGCAGTGTAGAAGGTCAGTCCACGGTCAGCAGTCCACACACCCTGGATACCAGCGCCGGCGAGCGCGCCACCGTTGTACTCGGGGTGGTAAGGAGCGATGAGAGGAGTGGTGGGATACTCCGACAGACCCTGCGCGCCATTCCAGGTCATATTCTGGATCGCGAAAAGCGTACCGTTGGTGCTGAGAAGCATGTCGAGGTCACCGGAGCCGATGATGGTGTTGTTGGTGAACTCGATGACGCGCTGCAGGGCACCAGTGATGGCGGGGCCGTTGGACTGGTCAGAGCCGCGACGGGTGCCGTTTCCAAAGACGTTCACATTGGTGCACTGCTGCCAGTTGGAGTTGAGGGGTGCGTTGAGCGCCTTCTTGACGTCGGTGCGGTTGAAGTAGATCTCGGCGCCGGGCGGGGTGTAGTCGCCGCTGTTCACGATACCGAGCTGGGAGTACGGGTGCGGGCAGGTCTCGGTGATGTGGTAGATGTTGAAGCAGGGGTTGACCTCGATGATAGCCTCGTAGAAGGTGTCGAACATGTCGCAGGCGTAGACGTCACTGTTGTAGGGATCGGGGAGGACGGGGAAGGGCTCCTGGGGCGGCGGGAACTGGAAGTAAGTGTCGAGGTAGGAGGAGTAGTTGCACGAGTCCTGGCGGTCGCGGACTTGCTCCATGAAGGTCTCGTTGAGGTAGAAGAGGTTGTTCCAGAACTCGACATAGGGGAGGATGACGACCTGCTGCTGGATGGTCTCGTCGCCGATGATGGGGTCGTTGATCGAGATACCGGCCAGGTTGAAGTAGTCGGTGTCGTTGGCGGAGATGAAACCGTCAGCGATGTATGGAACGTAGTATCCGGCGTACGACTCTCCGGTGATGTAGGTCTTCCAGGTCTTGAGGTCAAAGGTGTCGATGAAGCTCTTGTAGAAACCGCGGAACTCGGTCGCAAGCTGGACCTCGTCGGTGATGTTAGGTACTCCCTGGGAGTAGCCGACACCGACGGGCTGCTCGACCCACAGCATGTTGGTCAAGTTGGTCCATGAGTAGGGGTTTTGAACGGGGGCAAGCGTGCCTGCTTCCCAAGTGAATGGGCCGTTCTCCGTGAGGAAACCGGAAAGAGAGGAGCATCCGGGTCCGCCATTGAGCCTGTCGCACGTTAGCGGGTTGCTTCAGATCCAACTATTGTTGTGCTATCTTACCAGATAACCACTTCTTCAGGGGTCTGCGCGGCTGATGAGGGGAAGAACCAGAAGAAAAGCTCGCGAGTCTCGTCGGGGCTGTCGGAGATGGGGAGCAATCCAGCGTAGGATTCGCCAATGTCGAAGGGCACTTCGGGGATACCAGTGCCATTGACAGCGAAGGCTTAGAGAGAAGTTAGCTTGGCGAACAAGAGCTTCATTGCCCGTCAATTACTCGCCCTTAGTCTTCTCCGTCAAGAATTGGGAAGCGCGCTTCTGGATCTCAGGGTGAGAGAAGGGCTGGTTGGCCGCGCGCCTCTCGACAATGGACCTCGGAAGCGTAGGCTTAGTCGGCTTCTTGAAAGCAAGCGCAGAAGAGGCGCAAAGCAGCCCGCTGAAGAGGTTGAGGAGCTTCATCTTGAGTCTGACTGGGGAGAAACTGCAAGCGGGTGAAGGCTTCTACTCCGACCAGAGCTGGCCCGGCCGCGGTATTTGAACATTTTGGTATATGACGGCATCACTTCGCAAAGTTCCTGACGCTTACCATAGGCAGAAGGAGGAGGTCCAAAGTGCCCAAAAGTCCCCTGATAGAATGGGTCACTTCTCGATGATTGAACGGCGGTGGGTCCAGGCAGATGTTGATCGTTGGTTCATGGTACGTTGGTCGGTTGTTCGGCATGCGAGAAAGCGTTGCTAGCCGGTCTTCTCCAGAGGTACCTTGGACTCATCTAGGCCCGTTGGAAAGCTCATGTCGAGAGAAGCCGTGTTCAGATTACCTGAACCTTAAGGTCCTTTCGTAATGAGCTTGTACTGATAAGCCTGATTGGCCTTGGCCGAGTCTCGGTGTCATGTAAACTCCATGTTTCCTTCTTAGTGACCAACGGCGCGGAGAGACCTGGCACTTCTGGGTATTAATCGCGTGTTCGGCTCTTGAAGGCCGCATAAAAGTTGTAAGATGACGCAGCCCGGCACGAACTGTCACCTTCCTCTTAAGGTTAAGGCCGGTCCCGCAGATCGACAATGAAGCTCCAACGGCCCTCCCGGCGCGTTCGTGATTCGATGACTGTGTCTTAGTGTCGTGGGAGCAGACAGGGCCCCGGATAGATCAAGCTTCGGGCGCACGATGCAGCCGAAGCTTGGGCTAGCTTGGCGAAGCTTGTCAAGCTTAGCGACTCTTGGGGCGGCGTTGGGCGGGCTGTTTGCCTGGAGCCTGGAGGATCGATACAAACGCGGCAGAGCGGGAGAGAAACAAAAAGTCCGACCTCCCCGGCATATCAACAGGGATCAAAGGCTCGCGAGCATTAGGACCTGCCTTGGAGGTACTACGGTGATATCGTATTGCAAAGTGCGGGATGTCGCGTAATCACGACCTTGGCTGATGTGATGCAAGGTAAGAAAGCTCGATAGATGCTTGATTGTGAGGCAAGTAATTCGCTCATGTGAATTGCACGGCTTAACTACTGCCCGTTGGGTATGTTAAGGTTACTCAAAAGTTCCAGTTCATCTCGTTCTTAGAAACTTGAGTCCACCTCAATCTGCCTCCCGCAGAATTGTGTCTGGAACCCCACGTTATCGCCCACTTCTCGCTTAGTAATTAGTCTTACTCCAAGACGCTCCAGAGTTCAAGGACATTCCTCCAGCACGTGGAGGTCAAGAACCGTTACTATTTACGCCCCTCCTCCCCCTCCCACAAAACCGTCGTCGACGACGGGGGAGCTTGGCGCAAAAACCCCATGGGTCCCTCAATCCCCAGCATCACGTGGTGCTAAGCTTTGACTTACGACAGCTGGACGATAGTCAAGGCCAATGGAAGCTGACAGCCCCAAGAGAAGAATGACATCAGGCGCGTTGGCACCGCAGTCCGGTCCAGTGACTAACCTGTCGGGCATGTTTTGAGCACTGCCCGCGCGTCGCACGGCCACACCGAGCAATAGTCCCCCTCAATCGCATGCAGCATTTGCGGCGTGGTTGAAATGTAAAAACGGTTTCAGCCCTCTGCGCAGAAAAGAGGCGTAAATCGACCAATACGACAAACGGAATGTCGTGGCTGAAGATGCTGACGCGGCAGCCACACTGTTGGTTGGCCTCACAAGGCCCAACATCCATCCGTCTGACATCGCCAAGGTAGAAAACCATCTTACTTGAACCTGACGCAAGGTAACATTAAGCTACTCACAAGTCGATCGCGAATCCATCATCACAGAGAGCCGCAAAGACGCAACTGCAATGGGACCGTCAAAAACATCACCTTCCGAGGCGGCACCAGCCTACGATGAGCACGGCTTCCACGACGAGCATCCCGTAAACGCGTTCCCTCCATCAGGATCAGCCTCGGCCTACGCGACGATCCCGCAGAACGACGAGCGTGATATCGAGCTGGCACACGATCACTCGGGGCCAGATTCGTCGGCCCCTTTCAACCCCTTCAAGCCGCACCAACATTGCGAGACGTGCGACAAATTTACGTCGGCGCGCGAGATCAGGGCCAATGAGAGGCATTGCTGCCTCTGGGTTGCCATCGTGTTCATCACAATCAGCGTCTCGATGGCGGTGATGGGAATCGTTGCTGTTGAGGCAAAGTTCAGGCACCACAAGGACTAGAACTTGGCCTTCATTCAAAGCACTTGAGGCTCGAAATTCGTTCAACGAGTGCAGGGGCTGCTGATAGGTGGCGTAGATGGTTCTTTGACTAGGTCTGCAAGTCAAAACTCAAGCCTGTCATCACCCTCCTCAGATATATACTCCCTGTTGACCACTCTTGCCCTAAGTTGCCTGAGTCTGTCACGGCAGACTTCATTTACTTTGGCGTGTGGTCGTGAGCTTGACACTGTACGCATAACATACAACTAGGATAGACAGAATTACATTCTCTTCCAGACGTGACTCTTCTCACCTGCGTGGCGTTTCGCATTTCCACCGGACTACTATTGAATAACACATGGTAGTATGCCTAGTGTGGCACTTTCTGCACTGCATCTTGCTTGTAGATCCTAAAGATGACCAGACCCACTGTCAACTGCAATAAAATGTGCCTAAGCAAAAACGCCTCTTCTTCTACATAGCGTAAAGGAGTGAAGGTTGAAGAATATTCTTAGACTTGTCGGCTTCAGAATACCGACAGCACAAAAGTGTGTCGGTGTAGAGAACCTCAACCAGGATACCTGACTGTTGTGTCTCAAGGTACGTCGACTTGGTGAGACCATTCGACTGGCTTGACCGAGTTACTCCCCGTCCTCGAATGTATCGTCCCTTAACAACTTCCTCTATTCCTTCGCGCATAGCAAGAGAAACAACATCGACGGACAAAGCATGCTTGATCTCGCGAAACCTCCGTGAAGACATTGGTTACCGGGCTGACTTTTCCATCAATCCATCTGACCACGGTTTGGGCGAAGCCGTGACATGATGCATCGAAAGCACAATATTCCCAGTCGACTAAAGACTGCTATCAAGACCGTCAGTGCAATTAACACAGCAAATCCTATTCCCAAGACTTTGGCCCCTAGTTCAACGTTCCGAAACATGCCTAACATGAAAGTCAAGAAGACAAACACAGCAACCAGAGCGAGCACCGCCCAGAAAATTCTGACAAAATACCTTCGTAGGCGTTTATACGTGTAAATGCGAAACTTCTCTTGACCTTCTTGTCCCTCGAATATTTCGGCTTCTGCCTTCTGGACCAAGTAATCAGTTATTAACTCAAGTATGCTTAGAAAAGCCAGGAAGGGAAACACGAGGGCCCCCAGGAGAACCACAACGCCGATAAAGTCGTACAGGAGCGGTCCCAGGTCTTTGAAGCGTGTTTGCATACTGAGAACTCCAGCGCTCAGCGAAAGTGGGAGAAATATTGTGGCAAGCAGTGTCAGTTGACGTACACTGCTCGTTTGCGCCATATCACGACCAAGGTTGAGAAACTTGAGGTCATGTTCTACACCATCACGCATTCTTGATATAAGCCCACTGACTTCTCTTTTGAGAATGCGAACCTTCACCTCTGCTTGGCTGAGATGTTCCTCGGGATTTGTGGTAAGACGGATTATGTCCATTAAGGTTTCCAGCCGCTCCGAGATTTCCTTACCAAGCGAATTGTACTTTTCGAGGGCCACAGAGTCTTCAGTAATTCTCTGTGAGTGCCATTGCTTCAGCCTGAATTTACGGGGGTCGTACTGTATCCGATGAACGTTCAGATACGCTCGTTCGAACTTGAGAAGGAAACCCGCAAACGTTATTAGTTGAGCGTGATGATACTGCAGCATAAACGCGATGCGTAGTATATCGGGCTTCCTTAAATCTCGGTAGAACTCATCAAGATTTTCAAGATGTGTAAAGAACGTATCCATGGCCTTTGAGGCTTGTCCAGATAGATTTGCCTCGTGATCTTTCTCTTCGACCAAGGTCTTGCAAGAAACGATGGCTAGAAAATCACTTTAAGTAACGAACTAAGAGAGAAACACAGGGAATCTAATATAATACCTTTGAGTCGCTGGTCTGCAGAAATTTGGAACGCTAAGTAGTGTTGAGCACGAACTACAATAGCGGCAGTGCCGTCTCGACGGCTCCGCGATTGAGGGGGCAGCTGTGTCTCGCCATGGGGCACTTCCGGTTCAAATATCTCGAAAGTGTCCAGATCATATATCTCTCCCTCGCGGAAGGACATCTTTGAAGACAGCGATCGAAGAAAGTTTGTCGATTTAGTGGACGTTTTGGTTTCAGGGATCCCTGAGATAGGCTTGAGTTCACAAGACTCATTGATGATCGACTGCTTGTTGCCGGCGGTTCTATGGGAACAAAATCTGTGACATTCTTCTTGCGCTTCTGGCTTCTCAGCTGATGATGGAGGGTTTCCCTTGCCCGATTGGTCGACAGGCTGCGTTGATACATCTCCATGCTCCGACTTGTCCCAGAGTGTAACGGAGCGAACAGATTCACTACCGTCTCCGCAGGGTATCCAGATTTCTTCAAAATCTACGGGCAGATCACTGACCGCATTTTTGAAAGCATGATAAATTGATCGAGGTGACGCAGTGTCAATCCACCACAATATTCCGGTTAATGCAAGAGCAACTGTAGGTTCATTGAGAAACCCCATTATGTTCGCGAACACAGAGACAAGAATCTTTGGAAAGTGGAGGGCCTCTTCGAACGGGCTATCAGTCCATTTATGCCTGCTTTGAGATTTGAGTCCGAGAGTCCGACATGTGTTGCATGACTATTGGCCGTAGGATTCACTTTCCTGCAGGCTGCCATGCAGAAAGATTGTTTGCATGTACATAGCCGCCGATCACCCCCTGTCAAAGTAGCCCACCACATGTGTAGCTCGTGGGTAGGTGTCGCGGGACAAGAGTTCAAGGCTGTAGCGATAGTCTTCCATTAATTGGTGGGAGAAGTGGATTATCGCCTGGTTAGCCAAACGTTACTGCGCGGAACGCAAAGTACCTCTTCGTGGCTTCATTCTTTGCTTCAAAAGTTAACAATATCATCGGGTCGAAGTTCATTTTATATGATTGATTCTCTTGACCCGAAATCTATAGCTGCAAGAGAGATGGTGATCAACAAAGTCAGATGGAACCAACACGATACGACTGCCTGTAGACTGTCTTGGTCTCTCTAGATGATATCTACGCCATTTGATCCGCTGAACTAAATCTGATGGTAATGGTCCAACCCCACCAAATAGCCGCACTGTAAGTGCTTCAATAGAGAAATTACGATTTTTTAAAGCAGGCTACACAGCCTTTCTCTGGGATCGAGTGACAGCATTGGCCCCTGCCACGGAACTTGCAGGTGGTTTTACATCTTGGTCACAGTCAATTATCCTTGACCAACTTTTGGATCTGACACTGTCTTCCAAAAGTAGCATATTTCCGAGAAATCTATGGCAGATACGTAAGTAAAAGGAAAAAATGTTGCTTTATTTTATGTGCAGCTTGCAACTTACTGATCTCGTAACTCAGCTTGTTTGGAGTATAGACTGGACAAGCAAACTTGATGACGAATCAGGTAGATGAGTAATCGACTGTCCAAATCTTCTTTTGGTTCTGATACTTCAATATGTTTCCAGTATTCTTGTAAAAAGCTCTCTCCCAGTGGGTATCTAGTGTTTGTGAACGGGGCTAATTCAACTGCATCTCTGTCAGATTCAATACTCTCGAAAATGCTCATGCAAATTGTTCTGCAACTTCAGAGCAATATACAGTCTGACTTACGTTCATTATGAGCCCACAACGCATTTGCATCATATACAATAATCCTTTCGCCATCTGGCTTGTACTTGACATTGCCAGGCCAAAGATCAGTATGACACAGAGTGGGTTTGATGGAGCGACCTCCCGTCTCCAAAGGGCGCAAGTATCGAGGAAGCACGTGGTCCACAAAGAAGTCCAGCGTGGCTTCATCTTCGGTGGTATGAGCCCCGCGAATGGCCTTCTCCCTCCCCAACAGAAACTTCATGTGATTCATTCACCACACCTCCCAAGAAGACTCCCACTTGTTAGGCTGTGTCAAGTTGCCGAAGCGAGTGTCGACCAGAAAGCCGAACTTCCCCTCTGGGGACCGCCCCGCGCTACGGAGATGGAGCGCGATTGGGACCGACATGTACGTCTCTGGCGGCGGGAACCCGCGGTCAACCATATCCTCAAAATCTAGTAGAAAGAAATACGTGTCTGGCTGTGATTCGTAGCCTCCAGCTGCAACCGGTCGAGGCATAAACTCGGGAATGAACCTATAAACGCTGTTTTCCGAATGCAAATGGGCCAGTATTTGTTCATAGCCTCCCCTTCCCTTTGCTCTCTATCGAGCCAGTCAGTTGCAACACCACGAATTTGATGGGATAGCAGTGGATGGAGACCTTTTCAAAGAATCGCTGGATGCTGCCATCTTTGAGCCGGACATTGTACCGGGCGGTGTCGCACCAGTCGCTCAGGTCCAGAGCAACTGCTTCTACTACGTGGCTATGCTCGGGAAATACTATGGGAAATTTCTCAATAATTCACTCTTCACGACGGATGAATACTTTTGAAAACTTACCCGCGAGGAGCGACGGATCCACCGCTTCAATATCGAGAGGAACTTCCTTGGGGTGAAATTTTATAATTTTCATGTTGCTGAGCTCTAATCGTTGTCTTATTCCCTCAAAAGAAAATCGTGGTGGTATCTTATAAATGCTAAAAGCTATAAGCTGGCATTCCGTGGTATACTATCAACAAAGAGTGTTGTTCAGGTGACACAACAATTCTTGCCTGATGTGTCAGGGATTGATGCTGGCGTTTGTTTGCCGGAATGGAATAAAGGCCCAGGTTTACCGCATCCCTGTCGTTCAGTCTTTGTGAGCACCTCATTAAGTAAGATGTCGTATCCAGCTGCATGACTGATTCCTTTGCTTTGCGGTGATTGTAGGTATTACCGGTAAACGATCCGTCAAGGATCCCTATGTAGGCGAGTGCATCAATGGTAATCGAACTGGAAAGTCAATGGCAAATCTTGGTTGACGCATGCAATATTACCTTAGTGCAGCCAGAGGTTCGCCCCATGAAGAAGACCGTTACCTGTCTTCCTTGTTCATTCTTTGTAGAATCACTTACCAATCTCCACGGAGTTGAAAATTATGCGGTCACAGCGTCAAAGTCTCTCCAGCAAACAAACGCCAATATTCACCATGCAACTAAAGGGCGTCATCCTGCTGTAGATGCATTGTTTGTTTCTTGGAAAGGCCATTTATCTCCATGTTGTTTCAGCATGAGACAGGCCCATTCATCTAAGCTACTAATGAAGAGCTTCAAGAGCAATGAGGCAAAAGACTGATTCGAAGTGATGTCATGTCCTCTGGTCCGTAAGACCAGCGAACAAATCCCTTCGCCAATTAACCCTCCAACGTGTTGGCCACGTGGATCTCGCGAACATTAGTCATGTTCACACCCACAAGCTTCCAAGCCATAACACCCTTCTCGATATCACGATCCTCATGATCAAGCAGAACATAGCTCATGACGGGATCCGTGAAGTTCGCCTCCTGACGAAAGTAGTAATCCTGCTTGTTCTCGATGAACGCCTGCTCGTTACCGGCGTAGCGCTCGTGCTTGCGGAAGGTATCGACAAGCTTCTGGTCAAGGAAGAGCTGGCCCGCGTGGGTGGCGACGTTGTCCCGGATGGTGCCGTTGGCGAGGCGCTCGGTGCCCGGGACGTGGGTCATGATGTGGATGTGCGGGGTGCGGCCGGAGTAGTGACCGGGGAGGTTGGTGCCGAACCAGACGGCGCCGTTGGCGTTGGTCTTGCGTAGGCCGCGGTGGAAGGTCTTGTCTGCGTTGGAGGGGTCGGCTTCGCCTGCGCCGTTGGCCTTGGAGACGACGCCTGAGTAGATGCCGGTAGAGTTGGTGTCTGTTGTAGAGGAGGTTAGTTGGATGCTGAGGGTTTGGGGGATAGGAGGGTGTATGGACTTACGCCAGACTTCAACCCAGATGTCGGGAACGGGCTTGCAGGTCTCGGTGTCGATGATCTGAAGGTCGAGGTACATGGGAATGCCAGACTGGCCATCGGTCAGGTCGAAGCGGTCAAGCTCTCCCTCGACGTCTGTCGATGGTGTCAGCAAGTTTCGGAGGAAGGAACGAATCAGGTGAGTATGGAGGACATACAGAAAGGGCCCTCAGTAGTCTCGATGCTAAGAACACAGCCATCGTCACGAGTAGCGAAGATATCAGCATCAGGAGTATCCCAGTTGACGCTGTCATCAGTGATCTCATGGTCGGTGCTGAGAACAGAGTCGATGTCACGCATGGTGATGCCCACACGACCAAGGGAGTTGGCAAGCTGAGCTCGGCGATAAACAGCCTCGTCAATGTAGCCGCGATTCTCGAGCTGGATGTTGCAGTGAGCAAGGTTCATGGCGTTGTCGAGGGAGTACTCCTGGCGAGTGGCGATCTCGAACGCATGGTTGACAGTTCCGTGAGCGGAGCAAGGGCGGATGACGAGGGTGAACAAGCCATAGCAAACCAGGAAGCCGAAGAAGTAGGCCATAATGGCGTTGATAGTCAGCTGGAAGTAGCTGACAATGTGTCTGTTGAACATCATCTCACGATGGTGGGTCTCCTCGGTGATGATGCGATATTTGGCAGCAGGGTAAGGTGCAACATGGCCCTCTGCGTCCTCGTAGAAGACACGCACACTGCGAGGAAGAGAATTCTCTCCTATTGGGTATTTCATGTCAGAATATCTCTTTGAGGTCTGTTCAGGTCGGAAAGGCAGGGTAGAGTGATCGAAATATTCGCCGACTCAGTGAAAGAAACGGGCTTGCGTTTTTCGAATTGAACAGCAATGACTTTGTCAGGAAATAAAGACATACCAACAACGATGCAAATACTCTGCACGTTCATTGTGATTAATTCTCTGATGATCGGCAAAGAGCTTGGTTGTTGTGTCGGTGCAAAGGCTCTGCTGTGGACACAAGGATCGTGAAGAGTGTCTTGCCAAAGAAGCAAGTGAGAGTGTGGGTGAGGAAAAGAATTCTTTTTTCCCAAGACGAATTTGAGAAGGTAAGTGGGGGGCATCGAGGTAGGGCTTGAAGAAGGAATACTCGTCGTATTCACCTTGGCTGAGAGGAGCCTGAGGTGGTTGAGCAGGTGAGCAGCAATTATTCACGGGATGCTTCAAAGGTGAAGTGTGAAGATGCGTGTCACGTGAGAGGGTCTTGAAGGGAAATATTGAGTATCATGACTCCAGTCTTAGGTTGTTGTCCCCTTCTGCTGCTGATACTGATTCATAATTTAGCCTTAGTGTTCTGTCTAAAAGCATGAGCTCAGCAGACAGCCGGCCCCTCTCAGACCACCCTGCCTGATAATTATTAACTATTCAATAGTGTTATGGCATCTGTACAAGGTAGCCTCATTATTTCCAACTCCTCAAACGCCTTTTGATATGTTTCCATCCTTCTTAATGTTGCCTGCCCTTACTCCAGCCCAGTCTCCTTCCACCACTTAAACCGATAATAAACAAGCCTCGCATCAACCTCCCTCTCAAACCTCTCCCTCCACCCCTCCGGCATCTCTCCATAAAATCTCACAACCTCCAACCCCTTCAACGCAGCCAACACCCCAAAGAACTCATCATGCTTCTTCTCCGTCAACTTGGCCTCCCACACTTTCGGGTTCGGCGGGCCCGGCCTCGGCTCCCAATCAACAACAAGCTCCGCCAAGCCCTCCGCCCGCCGCGCCACCTCAGCAAATATGGCCAGCCACCGGTTCCAGTTAGGATACTCCATGGCGATGAGAACGTACAGCCGCCGCAGGCGCTCGAAGCGCAGGGTGCCATGGACGGCGAAGCCGATGCGCCGATCGCCGTAGCCGTGGGAGTGCACGCGCATGATGGCGTCGGCGTGGACGGGCTGGTGGAGTTCGCGGTAGATGCGCTTGCAGGTTACCATGAGCGGCGGCAGGGGTTTTTTGTATTCCCCTTGCTCAAAGTAGACGTGCAGCGGCCGGACTGTGTCGCCAAAGTCGTCGTGGTCGAATGAGAGGTAGTACTCGTAGATTTTCTCTCTGATTTCCCATGGGAGGCTGAATAGGCCTGAGCCATTCTGTTCTAAAGGTGCGCTCATGATGATTCTGCGTGTCTAGTCGTATGCATGTGACGATAGTGTGTGCTATTGTCATGTTCATGTTAGATCGGGTAAATCGGAAGGATCGGGAGACAGCGGCTGGGCTGGAAGGGTGGCCCACATGCATTCTTTGTTGCTCTGCACCATAGACTGTAATACCTGATCACCGAGACCGCAATCAACTTTCCTTTAGATTTTCTGAGATTTTCTAGAACAATGAGATTGGAAATGGGTTTCTTCAAAAGCAAATGTCTGCCTGTTTCCACGCCGCTGCTGCCTGGTCGTTGGTGCATGTTGTTTCTGCGGGAACGTCTCACGACGCCGGCCCAGTGGGGTTTGGCTCATTTTGCCCCACCTCACGGCTGTTTAGACCGAAAAATACGCGCTTCTTCGGGTTTAAGGTGCTGACAGGCGGGGTTCCCACCCTTCGGCTCCGTCGGCCGTCGTCCGGTGCGGGTCCCCCGGTTCTTACCCTGTTCGTCCACCGAGAGCCGGATGAGATGTATCTGCCTTTGGAGCGCACTCACTCTTTGCATGATGTGGAAGATGACATGGACCGGTCATATCAACGCTCGCTAGTCAATATGTTAATAAGAGTGATGAAGTTTAATTTTCCTACACAACATCTCCAATAATACCCTCCGGCGCAATTCCCCCCCTCCCAAGCGGCCCCAACTTCATCTCCTCCACAGCCTTCACCCACTCCTCCATCGTATTCACATTCGTCAACCACCACTCGCATCCCGCCGGCGCATCAACCATCAACCCGTCAAGCTCCCTCGCCGTCTCCTCGGGCCGCGGATGCCCCCGCGCGACCCGCTCCGCCAAACGCGACAGCGCAGGCGGCGCCCAGATCGCCAGCAGCGGCTCGCATACCCCCTCGGCGGTGCGGAAACACGTTACGGGCACGGCGTCGCGCTTGACGAACAGGTGGAAGAAGGCTTCTGCCGGGATCAGAGGGTAATCGCACGCCAGCACCACCCAGTACGCCCACGCGTCGTAGCGGTACGCCGCTAAAAGTCCCGCGGCGGGGCCACTGTCGCCGCCGGCAGTAGCATGCTTTGCGTCCGGATTTGCGGGCCGGAAGTCGCGTAGAACCTGTATCCTCGGCGGCGGCGTCTTGCAGTCCTCCACTTCGGCAGACTGGTTGGCGGCCTGCGCCAGCAGCTCGTCGAGGAACTCGTCTGTCTCGGACTCCTGCGCCAGCGAGATGAAGATCGTCTGCGGCTCCGGGAAGATGGTGCGTAGCAGTTGCAGCTGCCGCCGGTACAGGGGTGTTCCGTCGGGCATCCGGAGGAGGTGTTTGGGTGTGCCCATCCGGGTCGACTTGCCGCCCGCTAGCAGGAGGGGTCTCATTGCCGGTAGTCCCATGGTCTTTCTTTTTGTGATGACTGTTCTCTCTTGTTTCGCTTGATCTTCTATCTGAAGGATTGATGAGCGCGCCGCTGGTACGGAACCTACTGCCAAAGACAATGTAACGCGATCAACATAAGGCAGGTAAACCGCGATGAGAATGGGTGTACTGCATTGAGCTTGAGGTGATACTTTTGGTGAGTAAGCCGCGCGTCTGGACGTTTACCATATCGTGTACGACACGATGTTGTTCTAGAGCGTCATGATTACGGCATGGCGCAGTTGGAGCTAGTGTAACAATCGAGAAAGCACAGATCTACCCGTTGATCTATCCGCCCAGGCGTTTCCCATCTGGGCGTTGTGCATATCACTTAGCCCAACCCAACCAACCTCTTCACATGATATTCCCCCATGTTGCCATGTGTCATTATGCCATGGGGGAAGAGAGATCTTGTCTTTATCCTCCCTGTCTCACCTCTTTTATCGTAATTCTCCCGATATGGAATATAATCATCACCAATAAGATCAATTATCGCAGTATCAACCCCAGTTTCCCATCGTGACATTGAATGTCGGGTTGACGGTGAGATGCTTTCTCAAGGGTTTATTCAACGTTCAAGAATGAGACGAAGAGTTCTCGTTTCTATAACCATGGTCCATATCTCAAGGCATCACCATAGTATTATACTCGCTCCAAGACCAATCAAAACCTAGACTGCGGTACAAGGCAATCAATGGCAACCCAAAATTCGTGACTGCCCCACATTCTATATTGACGTCGGCAGTCTGTCAGAAGAACCTACGAGGCTTTGGTGCCTCAGCCGTCAGTGAACGGTACATGTAGCCTTACCGGCCAGACGTCTACGAGATTCGCAGGAAAGGGTGGCCTGAGTACTCGTGGAAACAATGCAGACCTGTGACTATGGCCGCTACATCTTTCCATCTACATCGCGTTACTTGCAACTAGTATAGAAGAAGATCACGGAAACGTAACAAGGCCTGTTGTCTGAAAAAGAAACCTTTTTGTTAACCTTGTGTATGACTGGAGCAAAAGTAGACTTCCGTAACTCTTTTAGCATGCAAATGCAAGAGCCAAACGAACAGCATGCCGCAAATATAGAGGAGTACTAAGTCTTCCCGCCCTATAGACTCCGAATTACCCCCCTCGTCCCACGTGCCGAGCCCAAACTCCGTCAAGGTAGCAAGAATCACAGACCCAGAACTTTCCCAAATCAAATTAGGGGTATGATGCTGTCCATCTATGGCGCGGAAACCTCAAATTAACGCCTCTCAAGTGAACCCCTTATTGCTGTGCTTGCATGTTCGTTGTGTGGTGTTGTCGTCAAATTTCAAAATAGGAAACCCCGCTGTGCGAGTGTGTCGCTATGCGGGAGTGTACCAAGGCGTCTTGGTGTGGTGTTGCGGGTTCAACAAACCCTTTACGGCAATGCAGCAACGCTGCCCGCCAATAGTGCGTAGTTGGCGAGCTTGAGAGACAAGACTCGCGATCGAGGGTAATCGGGGCTGATAATCATGCGACCGTCTTTATTGAAACCAACTTCGCCGAATGACTCGCTCAACTGCTCAAACTTTGCGTTTGGCCGGACTCGATTCAGCTCTGCCAGGATGTTGTCGCTCCAGACACCGGAACACCAGCCGTCTCTCAAGACAAAGTAGGGATTCAAGGGAGGGACGGGAGAGTCTGGCACTAGTTAGCAAGGACGAAATCCAATAAGGCAAAAAAAGCGAGACATGACTTGCCCAAGTCCACGAAGCGAATCCGCAGGTAGTCCAGAGCCTTGAGAGTCGACATGGAATGAATGCCTGCCAACACAAGCATCTCGAACGAGTGAATAAAGTTCATGTCCTGAATCCCGCTGCCAGAATCGTGGAACTGAGGTACAGGACGACAGCAATTCTTGACCGTTAGGTCAATCGTCTTGAGTCGTGTCGTTCTCGAATCCGATCTGATCGCCGCCATGTTGAAGAAATTCTTGCAAACGCGGCCGGTGTAAGCCAAATGCTCCAGCGCGGGAGTTGCCTCGGCCAGCTTCGAGCAGAAGTGAACCTGGTTGGAAACCTTCATGTAGAATGGAGGGCACGTGAGCTCCCGCCGGTAGTCGCTTTCCAGGCACAAGTTGAGGTAAGTGAGATTTGTGGGTAGTTTGGGTAAAATGCTGGCCATGCTCAGGTAACTCTTCGACTTGGGCTTGCTGTAGGAGCCGTGCCACTCGTTGAGGTTGGGGAGAGCTGCTAGGAAGGCTGAGAAATCCGAGTCTTCGCGCATCAGGTTCCACTGGCCTTTGGTGACCAAGGTACGAACCGAATGAAGGGTCGGCAGATGCCAGCCAGCGGGCCGCTTATGCCAACTGTGCTGTACCTTTGGTGCCTTCTTTCTTTCCCCTCCCTCGATAGTCAAGACACAAACGTCAGGAAGAGCCATCGAGACAAAGGTGAAGGCCTCTTCGAGGCTGCAGTTGTTGGCGGGGAGCGTATAGGTCGCGTTTGTCAATCCATCCATTGTTACCGTGGGAAGAGCAAGAGTAGTGCTCAACGCCAGCGGACCGTACTTGGGCTGGAAGACTGGGAACCAAATCTCAATGTGCTTGACGTAGTGCCGGAGGTGGTTGTGTTCGCTAAAGTACATCATGGCCAGCTCTAGCGATTCGATAGTGGCCTTGATTTTGATGTGACGGTATAGGCGCTCCTGAATTAGGATTCTCCAGACGGGACTGACGAGAGCAAGTTCTGACAACTCCCTGCGTCGGGAATGGCGAAGTGCGGTTCCCCAACTCTTGGTCACACTCTGCATGCCTACCGAGCTCTTGGAGTTTGTGGATACTCGGTATCCGAAAAGGTGGTCGAGAATGCATTCGTGAATTTCGGCCGGTAAGTCATTTAGATTCAGGGAGGGCGTGACCTCGGGGGTCTCGAGAGTATAGGAAGGAGTGGTGATGCCCGGGCCTCCGTAGGCATCGACGTCGTCGGCCATCGGAGTGCAGCAATCCGAGTTCCGTTGATCGGGGTGTAAGAAGGGCGTGCTGCTTGGACGAGTCGGGGGCACGAATTCATTGCTCTTTGCCTGCTCGAGGGGTGGGCTGGATGGGCCGGGTGATACTGGGTTGGATGAGGTGTTGAGTATGGTTGAAAGGATGGAGGCAGAGGCTGTCATAATCGAGGTCAACTCTTCAGTGGCGTTGGCGTTGGCATGATAGTCGTCTCGCGACTGTCGCCTATCAGTACCGGAGGGGTCTCGGTCTCGGGGGACGTTGTTCGTGACGTTGGAGTCGTCGTCGGTTGAAGGAAAGGAGTGTTCGACGCAAACGGACATGGTCGTCGGGATCGGAGTGGGCGATTCTTTGGGTCGAAAAACTAAGATTTTCGGAGAGAGGAGGGTTGAAGCCGTTCCTAGATCATGGCCAGACGGACTCTCTCCAAGGGGGGGAAACGGGGGAGCGGCGGCGACGGCGGCGATAGCGGGATTGCTGATCAAGCGGAAGGGAAAAAAGGCGAAGGGAGATTGGCTCTGGGCTGCTTTGACGATGGTGGGGGAAATGAAGTGCCAATAATTCAGAGACCCTGGATAACGCAGACCGGGGGGGTCACAACAATGCTGAGCAGCTGTTTTGGTCGGCTGGCGGCCGTATTCGTCAGGTTGGTCCCAGTGGAAAGTAGCGCTGCGCTGGGGTCTCTTCGCTTCGCCCAAGCCACTTTACGCGGTCGGTCGCGTGCGCAGCGTCAGGGAAACGGCCCAATGAGTGGAAGCGCCGATAAGAAGGACAGCGGCGGGAGGAGAGCAGACGATGGAGAGGAGAGCAGAGGAGGGGGTGGAGGCCAAGGCGGAGGGAGAGAGTCGTATGGGCTACCTGGTAACCAGGTGGTGAGGTGGTGAGAGGGCGAGAGATAGCGATGGGGTGATTGGTGGTACCGGTAGACACACGCACACACAGTACGAGGTAGGTCGGGGTCCGGCGAAAGAATGGAAGTGTCGACTATTGACGACTGAGAATGCGACCAGAGGAGAGAGCCTGAGAGATGATATGGAGTAGAATAAGAAGAGAGGGGAGCCCAACAGTGAGTGACACGGTGATGGAAAGAAATGGGAAGAAGTGTCGTCCGTAGGTGTCCGTAGAGGTTTGGACTACGGCAGAACGTGTCGTCGTGGTAGGAGTTGGCCTTACAAGACGGGACAAAGAGAACAACAAAACCAAGAGGAGACAGAGGCAGAAGCAGAAGCAAAAGGCAGAATTCTGGATGTGGAAGTGGAAAAAGGGTTTGTTGGTGTGTTCAATGCTGTGTGTCTGGAAATGAAACGAGTACCGGACAATTGGAAAATGGTCGAGCGGCCGGGAAGGGAAGCGCAAGGAAGGGAAGACAGGAAGGAAGGTGCTGCTGCGCCTGCGCCTGCGCCTGTGTTCTGTGTTCTGCGTTAGGTGAGGCAGCGGTGGTGCGGGAGCGGTGCGGCTTGCGGGTACCGGTGTGGCACGGTAAGCCTAAAAGGGTACTTTAGGTCTGCAAGGTGAGGACGGTCAGGTAAAACAAGAATAGGGGAGGCGGCCCCGATTGAGGGTTGTTGTTATGCCACCAAGGTACGCCGTAAGGTAAGGAAGGTGAAGGCAATTAATTGCTGCAGTTTCGGTCTGCTGCTGCTGCTGCGTTGGTGAGGCAGGCGAACTGGCGACGGGGGTGGCGTGGTTTGCTTTCGTGTTTCCGTAGTCACAGTGGACAGGCAGATGTGGCACAAGATTGGATGGACAGAATGTGGTAACGACTCCGTGATGAGGTCGATAGACTGCCGGGAAATATCTGACAAAATCTTTCCAACTCTTCAAAGCCCAGAGGAATGTAATTGCCAATGGCGAAAAAAAGGTCAAGAGGACGAGGAAATTAATTACAGTCAATAGTGAAGTGGTCTGCTTCTGATGGATGGATACTCATTCCGCAAGTTATATTTATTGGCCGAAAAGAGGGGAAAGTAACATCAACAAGACAACTTTTTTCAAGGAAGCATGACAGCACAATAAAAGATGACGGCACCAAAAGGATACACGGAACGGCAGTCGGTAGCTTATTTTCTCACTTACTGCCACTCTCTACATATCCGTATACCTTACCTTACTGCCCCGGCCCAGAGTTTCTATCAAATGCACGGATACCTGTTCAACTCACGGTACCTTATTTCAATCAACCTTTGAACACTGCTGTCAAGGTAAACATAAGGTAAGGTGCAAGGCGGCTGGTTGCAATGGAAACACAAGGTTGAATCAAGGAATGAGGGCAGACCCTTTCCTCCTTCGCTGGATTTCTCTTTGATTCTTCTTCATTCGCGAGCACCCAGGCGACAGTTGCCGCAGTAAACAACCTTTCGAGGCCAAGAATGTACACAATATAATAAGCCTGAGAGTCTAATCACCCCCCACCTTGATGCACATCAACCGACGGGACATGCGAGTGCAAAACCATATGAATGTCCCGCTTGGCTGGCTGGCCTGACACCAAATACCACCTTCACAGCGCGTTCAACGTCAGGGTGCATTGCGGCCCAGGGCGTCAGAGTCAAGACGGGCTCACTGCCCACCTCGTGGATGAGACGTGCACAGCCGTCCCTGCGTGACGAGCTCCGAGAGCAGAGTTAGTCCCATCGCATCATCATCTTCTTACTTGCAAAGGCAAAGATCGGGAGCGCAAATTGAGCCACTTTCTCGAGGTGTCTTATCGGCGGACCTTATCGCACAATCTCGGCTTATCGCTTCCCTGCCAGTCACATGGTCGGGGATCCACTGGCAAAAATGCCCGATTGCATTACCTGCTTACCTCAGCAGGTACTTACATTGAACACAAGCAACGGAAAGACCGACGAAGTAACGACGTCGAGCCATAAGGAACATCCCACCTTTGACCGATGCATGAACTTAGAACCTGACAATGAACTGCGGCTTCATCACGTCATCGAAGTTTCCTTGATCGAATATCTGGATTCCCAGCTCCACGGATATTACCACAACCTTTGCCATGGACTCAAGGCACATGCTACAGACTCCGGGCTCCGCCTCCATCCAGTGTTGTCATTGTACGCCGTACAGCCACGGATGCTTGAGATGCCAACGTCACATACCAGTAGACGTTGGAATTCGTCCATAGAGCCCAGATAAAGGTTCGGCATAACGACGAAACAGCTGCAGTTGGGTTGCTCGGGTAGGCTTCGTCAACCTTCCACCGTTTCAACTTGTTCTACAGCACCTATTTCCTCAGCAAGAGGTCACGCGGAGGCTTTGAGTCAGCTCGAGGGGTTGGCAGAGTTTAACCTTGATTCCATGTCGTGGCAAGTTGCAGTTGTACCGTCAGCTTGCCACTGGTGGTTTGATCCAGGCAACTGGCTGACCAAGCTACCACCTCGCAGATAACCGCGATCCGAGTCGTGGTCAACAGCATACTTTCCGATGACTTTCAGACCGAATCCGGACCGGTCGTGTTGACAGCAATCCTCGGCAAGACTACCGACCTCAGGAATGCTGCATAGGCTACGAGAAGGGAGTGAATGTCAATACGACAGGCCATCGCGTTACGGGCAGACGGTGCGGGAGACGTCTCTTTATCATTGCCGCAGAGCCTCGGACTGACTCTTGCAGGCTTGGCTGCAACGCCCAGGCATTTGGAATTTGAAATCAGCTTCTGCCATCGCCAAGTCTGGACGCCAACTCTCAAGCGTACCTGAGTCGAACATCGTCCCAGGCGCGGATTTTGCATTTCGCATTCTTGATTGATCGTCCTCTCGGCGTAAACGCCCAGCAAAGTCTAACAATGCTATTGAAACGACACGTGTTGAGCCGTCGCAAGATTTTGCCGACGTCCTCATGCCATCCGCCTCAGAGCCTCTCGTTCGGATCACAGATCGCCCTGAGATGAAGCACCAGACCCTGCATTTTCGGATTGTGGAGGATAGCACGTGTCTCGACTCTTTTAATAGCAAAAGAAAGATAGACTTTCAAGGCGCACGGCGGATGAGCCGATACCAGGGATGCGATGTCGCGGGGCTCTGCCCGGTGGGGGAGAGCCGAGACATGGCCAGTGGCCACACCCGCGCGGCCGGAATGGCGGCGGGCAACGGAGACGATTTGGTCTGGACCCTGCCGCGGAAGCAGCTTCTTCACCGGTAAACGGCCAACGGCATGGCGACCGACGAGACCTTTGGCGGCGGCTCCGAGCTGTCGCCATATTCACGCACTGATATCGAATCACAAACATGATCTACAGCATCTGCAAACATCGAATTGCGTAATGTGCTGCACTCTGACACCAGTACAGTGGAAATACGCCCTTACTGCGGCACCAAACGTCGGATGTGCGGTACGAGCTGCTTGCGTCCCCAGAATTCGGTAACGTTTCTCGTACTCGAACGCGCACGCAGTGGTTCACTTCGAAGTTTTGTCAGCAGGATTACAATAAGCGAGGTGCAATAAGTAATGGAACCATCCCCGAGAGCGACGTCCCAAAAGTCTTGGCGGTGTTCGAGCAGGGGAGCATCAACATGCCTATTCAACATCTCGAGACGAACAAGCGGAGAGAGACGCGCCAACTCCGGGACACGACAACCTGATGATGGAAGACCGATGACGACTGATGCGGTTTGGAGTATGTTCGTATTGAAACCTGCCAGGGCATCGGGAAATCCGCGCTGGTGACCGTCTCATTCGTGCGGTCGGAAACACCCGTACCACAGACCGGCCCCGATAGCGTTGAGGTGGTCTCAACCGTACCTGCGACAAGCGAAAGAGAGATGTATGGACCATCTGGTACATCGCATTGTAGCCAAGTCACAATGTTCATTCGATATTGCCTGCGGCTCTGGACAATTCGATCTAGAAACGGGTCAGCTGACAACTTGGAGCCCTCCGTCAGGGATCGACAGGTACACACGCACAATTGGGGCTAGTTGCAAGCCTAGCCAAGGAAATTTGGAAGTCACGGTAGAGATTTCAAGATTTCCGAAGCGCTGATCAATGCAAGTTGTTATTTCTATACCCGCTGTTCGGAAGGTGAGGAGCAGCATCCTCTGATTCGGAGACAGCGGGAGCCATACATACGCCGCGGCTCATCCTCGTGGGCCGAGTTACCGGTCCAACTTCCAACAATAACATCTCCCGGAATCCAGATTACCTTATTTCGGGTCTGGGATGTCATGGCGGATACGATGAGCTCACAAAGACCGGACCCGAGTCTAGAAGCAATCGATAATTCGATATCATCGAAGCGAAGAGACAAGCGAGCGATGTTTGTCTGCAGAGTCGCATCGTGACGGGGGATGCGCCCCTCCTCGAATTTCCAAGTTCACGGCGGTGTCGGGGGCCGAAGTGGACTGATGGAGGAGGAGCCTAGGAGGGGGGGTTCGTCGAATATCGCTTACCAACATCAACAGGCCGAAAGGTCCTGAGCATCGGAGCAGTTTGGCGCTTGTTGGTGGTTTGTCCCACCAGGGCATCGAAGCCAACGTAGAGCACAACCGCAGGTCCACCCTGACCTGTCAAGACTCGAGCAGACTACCACGGTCCACGGTTCACAGGCAGGCAGAGGAACAAGTAGCAAATGCATGCCTGTCCACTGCCTGTCATTCAGGTCGATACAGGGCAAATAGGCTAGATGTCAGCCGTACTTTGTTGTTATGGGATGGGATGGCGGCGCAGGGGACCACGGGCGGCTGTTGAAGCAGCATTCGTCACCTCATCCGTCTTTCGCGGCGTCTCCAAGCGTCCCCTTTTCGGCCGGGGCCTCCCAGGGCCAACCACGACTTGGGCGAATCTAAGACGGGCCTTATCCCTGCATGTCTCGAGACGCACGACTTGTCAAGGGCCGTCGATGTTTCATCCGTTGTCATGTCCAAGTCTACAGCCAATCAAATACGAATATAACCTCCACGCCACACCGTTTCAAAGTTCCCGATTGGGTCGTCACTTTTTCTGCTCGACGACATCCTCGTCGATGGCTTCGCCCATGGCCCACGCTGTACGCACCACTCACCCTCTGCCTTGGTGGGGGCAGCAGTTGAACCCCCTTTCAGCCGCGCAAAAAAATCAGCCCTTCGCCTCCATCATGGGCCTTGTCATTGTATAACACCCATGGACCATGGCATAATTATTGCTATCTATTAATCTATCTCAATCACAGTACCCTCACCGCTGGGAACCTCTCGGTCACTATCCTGTCTCTAGCTTTGCCAGGTTCTGTCATCCATCGGCTCGGTTAAGACTCATTGGCAGGGCCGTGCCAGTCATGCTCTAGGGCTGGCCACATGCAGAAGGTATCCCAAAGTATTCGTATCGAGCGTCTGAGCATTGTGACAATAACATTGAAGATCCAAGGGATCATGATAATGGCATATTTGGGTATGACAAGGCGATGAACTGATGCGATGCAAGTCAGTCTTGTGCAGGCACTGATGCAGCAGGGTCAAACCTGCCATTACTCACGCACATTGGCGTCGTCGACTTTGGACCGACGTTGGTTGCTATCCCTTCCAGATGACGCGGTACGGCCAAACATTCCACAGGATCCAAACGGACGGGAAACGAAGCTGAAGCGCGCTGTCGTCAGCTATACGGTCAAAAGGAAGGTTGAATGCGTACAGAAAGCAGAACGTTAGGCTGCGGAATGCCCTCCCGCATCCCGAAAAGGCCGTATCGCTGCATCTTCAGCAGTCGAACTACCTAACAGTAACACTCGGTGGGCCGTGTATTGTCTGCCTGTCTCCTAGGAAGGGGCTGTTTGGAGTCTCTGACTGGTTTCTAATCGCACGCTGAAAAGGCTTGGCTGTTAGACAAACCATACAATGTACAACCACGGGCAGGCAATGGTGCAGTAGTACACCACAGCCGTTGTGTGCGACTACGCGGATACAACG